CTGGTATCTACAGACTCAAAATATCCTGTGCTTAAGCAGCCACAATACTGGATAAGTTATTATTAAAAAGAAAGCAGAAACAGTCACAAATTAAATGCAAACATAATTTGCTGGACTTAGTTGTGAAAGAAAAGAATTCATTTATGTGGATTTTCCGGTTTGGTATCCACAAACATATGCTGTGCTTAAGCAACCAATTTTGATAATGCAATTCAAATGTAACTTACATGATCCAGTCTTGTCTTTTTCATAGATTGATCATCATTAAATTCATCTTCCTCATATGGCTCTGAAGAAGAAGATAATTTTCTTTTTCGAGGCCCACCACCTTTTAAAGCAAAGCAGCACACTCAAACTTTGAACAGAAATACTAAGAATCAATTTAATGTTAAACAAAGGCAAAAATGTGTTATAATGAATAACTAGACAATTCTCTTGACATAAGGCCTGATGTTCCTTCTTCTAAATTATGACTGAATCAAAGAAAAAGTGAACACTCTTCGCAGTCTTTCAAAGGTAGAAATCATTGTAATACTGTATTTGTAAACCATCGTATTATTACTTAATGTCAAAAATATGCATCACTAAATTGACAAGTAATTCTACAGAGTAATAGGGGTTATCCCTAGTGGCTGAGAGCTCAGCAGTGAAAAAAGTTAAGCTCTATCAAGTGAGAGTTATCTGAATACCATTTAAAGACACGAATAATTCTTAAGTGTCTATTATGTACCAGGCTTTGCACAAGACCTTTCGTAAACTATGGTTTCGTTTACTTTCACAACAAATTTAAAAGTAGGTAACATTTTTATTTTACAAAAGTGAAGAGAAACTGTGATACAGAGAGCTTAAGCAATTAAGGCTTTGAACCTAAAAACCTGTAACAGAGCATAGCAGTAACAGCAAATCTGTATATTCTGTCGTGACTGAAAGAAAAACAAACTCAGGCTATCAACATGATCTTAAGAAGCCATGCTATTTGTACTTTGTATATATTTTGTACACATTTATCTATTTCTTAAACACTTTCACTTTCAGAGAGCAAATTCCTCATATTTAACTGCTGTGCTAATGTGAAAGTATTTGGTAAAGCCTACAAAAGTTTAACATTTCAGAATTTGTTCTATTAGAACCCTAATATGCAGTTAGAAATAAAATTTCTAGAAATACAATACTCAAATACATGCATGACAGCTTTTAAGTTGCCAGCTTAAAAATTTCATAACATGGCCATTACAAAATAAAACTGAATACCAGTAACATTTTAAAGTATAGTAATCGTGTTGGTACAAATATGTAAATGACTTTTCCTCATTCATTTCTTAACATAAACGTGCCTTTTGCATACACCAACTAATTTCTAGCATCCACTTTAAAAAGCGGGAAAGACAACCACTTCACCATCACCCATATCTTTGTTTGGGGTAAGTGAGCACTGTTAGTAATATTTGAAGTTTGAAAAAAACCTTCAAACTAGATAATTTTGTCATGTCATCTAGACATCCCAAAAAAAGGAAACAAATGAATAGGCTACTCCCAACAACATCAATAAATTCATACTTTTAACCTCTAAAGTAAGGCAAAAACTTTCGATTTCTTTTTGTAATTTAGTATTCATAAACGAAAACTTTCAAAACGTACTGTATAAAAATACCCTATTGTTTAATATGATGGGTGATATTATCTATAAGAGACTATAATTTGTGGTAAAACCAATGTGTGATGTCCTAATTTGTGGCCTGCTCAAGATCGCTCACAGGTATTTATAAACGCCTTTTGTTAAAAATTGTCCTAAGATGTCAAAAATAGTTTCTGATCTTAATGACATTACATATTGAAAATTAATCTTATCCTCAAGGTTAGA